AAGAAACTAGTCAGACTACATTTGGAAGTTTTGCAACTCTCACGATCTCATCGCTTAAATTCCCCATAGGCCCATACCTGAATACAAAATAAACAGTAAACAACGATTACCTTTTACATACCATATATAAAACGGAGTTTTCATCCTTTCTAGAAACTCACGTCCTGAACTTTTGAGCGCAAATGTAATGTATTAAAAACAGGGCGCTTATATATAAAAGCGCCCTGATTAAAAATGTATATTATATTCACAGCGGTTAATACCATTAATATATCGCGGGCGCAATACGAAACAAAACACGAGAATTTTAAAATGTTTTGATTTGCAAATAAATAAATAATATTTGATGTCATAAAAATTTTTAAATTTAACTCAACACAAACTGGTAAGTTCATGACATGTATAATTTATTTATATGTTGTTATATTGCAATTCTTTACCCTACTCCTTTGAAAATTATTTGCAATTGCATATGATGTGAACATGTGGTCATGTATTATAGTTGTGTCATGAATTTAATAATACCCCAATGGCTTCGAAATAGACAATGGATGGAAAAAGTCATGAATATTGAACTTATTTACCTTTAAACACTTGATCGTCATGCGCATACAGTGTATTGTTTGTTTCCAGAACCCCCTCAAGCAGACTTCAACTTTTTTTGTTAAATTGTATATTTTGCTTCATACACTGCATGTGTGTGTGTTTGTGGGAACACTCATGTTTGGATGCTTGGCGTAGGTTAATGGTAATTTCATTGGAGTAATCAGGGATATAGTTGTATATTCCTGAAATTACCTCTAAACACCTAAAACAGCATTCCCTAAAATTTTAATTGTTTTCTTACATTGCCCTATATCGCTCAAACTCGCATTGCTTAAATTGCAGATTTTGCTTAAATCACCTAAATTTGCTTAAACTTGCATTATCTCGTTATCGCCCCAGAGTAGGGCCTACTGTTGCCATTGCTTTTTAGTCCCCAATACTTCAGTGAGTCATGCTTTGGAAATGACAATATTTTTTATTACCCAACCCTTGAGTTGTTTTGTTTTTCATTTACCCAACCTTTTACTTACTCAAAATTTAGTTTACCCAACCCTTTTCTCTTCGGTGCCACCCCCCACCATAAATAATGACCGGTCCCTTAAGACATCTTCACAGCAATGACATACAAAGCGGAAAACACAGAAATATGAATAAATTACAACTATTTACAAGATATTATATTACAAAAGTAGAAAGAGGAATGGATCAGAGTAGAAGTAGAGGGACCGAACTGCCTTGTAAGTTGAGAGAGGGTTTGAGTTTCTTAATGAGAAGACTTTCTCGAATGAGGAGTTCGTCTGGAGAAGAGCAACAAGAAATAATCTTAAAATCATTAAGAGAGGCGGAGTGACCAGTGCTATCAAGATGGGAAAGGATACTAGACATGGTCGGATTGCTGCTTTTACTGCCTGTTAGAGGAGAAACACCCAAATGTTCAGAAACTCGTGTGTGCAAGTGACGGACCGTTTGGCCCAAATACGTTGCGGAACAGCAACGACACGTGAAGGAATACACAACACAAGATCTTAAAGCGTTAGGAATTTTGTCCTTAAAGGTGAAGAGTTGAGACAAACGTAATGTTGGACGAAAAACGAATCTAATATTAACATGGGGAAAGGCCAAGGAACAAAGACGGGAGATTTGGGTGCGAATGGACCATTCCCCAATTAACCAAAATTTTGATCTCAGCAAGTCTAGACAAAATTCCATCATGCATGGCATGAAAGAGCATCACAAAATTAGTAATATTCCAAAGTTTCGTTGCGAAATGTTGTAAAATGCGGATAATATAGCCACGAAATTTGCAATTTTCAGTCATTTTAGATTACAAACGGGAAATGGTTACCACTTTTCCAAAATTTTGATCTTAACTAGCCTAAACAAAAATTGCAAAATGTTGTAAAATGCGGATAATATAGCCTTGCGAAGTTTGTAATTTTCAGTCATTTTGTATTACGCACAGAACTGAGTGGTAACCATTTCCCGTTTGTAATCTAAAATGACTGAAAATTGCAAACTTCGCAAGGCTATATTATCCGCATTTTACAACATTTTGCAACGAAACTTTGGAATATTACTAATTTTGTGATGCTCTTTCAAACTGTGATGAAATTTTTGTCTAGACTTGTTGAGTTCAAAATTTTGATTAATTGGGGAATGGTCCATTTGAAGAGAGTGAGCGCCAGTATATGGAAGAGAGAAATATAGGACTTTCTTAGGAGCAGAATGAACAGCTGGTTTGGGTTGAGACACATTTTCTAAAAATGTTCGTACGCAGCGATCAAAAAGACGAGTTGGATAACAATTCTTATTAAGAATCTGGCGGTATAGTTCTAACTGAGCGCGAAAGTTCTCATAATTGGAGCAAAGACTAAAGAAACGATGAATAAGAGAAGAAACTAAGCTACGTTTATATTGAAAAGGAATAAAGCTACGGAAGTTGGTAAACAGACCTGTAAAGGTGGGCTTTTGATAGACGGAAATTTCGAAAACACCATTCTTACGAGAAATGCTGATATCAAGAAAGGGAAGTGTGGAACTAGATTCAACTTCACTGATGAATTTAATATTAGGGTGTTGGCGATTTAGATAAGAGAGAAATTGAGGTATATGATCAGCAGACTGGAAAATCAAGAAGCAGTCATCAACATAGCGGCGGTACAATAATGGCTTAAAGTTGACAGGACAGTTATTTAACATGCAGTTAGACTCATGAAAAGACAGAAATATATTGGCGAATAAAGGACCTAAGGGTGACCCCATAGCAACGCCGTCAATCTGTTGAAACAGAACCCCATTAAACAAAAAAGAGCAGTTTTTCACAGCAAGACCAAGACGTTTCTTAAATTCCAGTTGAGTCAGACCATGAAAGCGAACAGCATTAGAGAATAAGCGGTTTGAAATTATATCAATGGTTTCATCTAGAGGAATGTTGGTGAATAAGGAAGTCACATCAAAGCTTGCCATGACAACGTTGTTGGAATCGAGATTGAGGCTGAGTAATTCCTGGACAAACGAGAAAGAATCCTCAACCATATAAGCACCTGACGAAATGGGATTGAGAAGAGGAATAAAAAAATTAGCGATTTTATAGGAATAACTGTTTATACAAGAAAGAATAGGCCTAAGTGGGATATTGTCCTTGTGGATTTTAGGTAGTTCGTATAAAATTCCTATCCGAGAACCAGTCGGATATAGTTTTTCATAGGTTGCTTGCGTGATTGATTCTGATTTCTTTAACGTCGACAGGAACCTCTTGACTTTGTTCTCGCGCTGTAATGTCAGTTTTACCGGGTCTTCGTCTAGGCGTTGAAATTTGGTTTCATCTTCCAGTATGGCTTACATTTTCTTGTTGTAGTCGTCCTTATCAAGAATAACTACCCCATTTCCCTTATCTGGTTTGACAATCACAATGTTAGTATCGTTTCTAAGGTTGTCGAGCGACTTTATTTCTTCCTTCGAGAATAAAAAGTCTGGACGAGAATAAAAAGTCTAAAAGCAGCAATCCGACCATGTCTAGTATCCTTTCCCATCTTGACAGCACTGGTCACTCCGCCTCTCTTAATGATTTTAAGATTATTTCTTGTTGCTCTTCTCCAAACGAATTCCTCATTCGAGAAAGTCTTCTCATTAAGAAACTCAAACCCTCTCTCAACTTACAAGGCAGTTCGGTCCCTCTACTTCTACTCTGATCCATTCCTCTTTCTACTTTTGTAATATAATATCTTGTAAATAGTTGTAATTTATTCATATTTCTGTGTTTTCCGCTTTGTATGTCATTGCTCTGAAGATGTCTTAAGTTAAAGACGAAACGTTAGCTTTCTAATAAATATTTTTTAAACTATATTTTTGTTATGGCTCTTTT